CTTCTTTTCCTTCATTTCCTACTGTTACTTTAGAAACGTGGACTCACCCTTGTGTGATAATGCTCCTAAAGCACCACCATCTCCTCTCAATCTCAAAGTGAGCTGTTTCTGGCTGCAAACACTTTGTGGCTGCCCTGGAGCAGAGGGCATGCCCATTGGTGACGTGGAGCTGAGCCCAACAGCTCAGAGAGGAGACAGAACCCAGCCGCAGGGACTAGATAAGCAAGAGATGCTGGCGTGTGCACAGATGTACACCTGCATATGTGTGCATGTATGTATGTATCTGTATATGCGTATATCAGCTACATCTGTATGTGCATGTGCATGTATCACATGTGTGTGTATATATGTTGCATATGCATATTCTGTATATGTACGAAACACTCATGTTTTAAGCAGGGTGAGTGTGGATAGGGAGGGGGAGAGATCCTACAAGCCAGAGGGAAGAGTTAAGGAGAGCTGTTGGCAGCAGCAGCTCTAGTCACAGGCTCAGCAAAGCCCCAGTCAGTTTGGGAGCCAACAGAAACAAATCTGAAATGCTTTAAAAGCACTGAAGAATCACACAGTGCCACAGCCAAGCTATCCAGGAGGAGATGTGGAAAAGCCAGGCACCCTGGAGAGAAGCATCACCCAAGTGTATCACAGGGACAGAGTTTGCTACCCACGGAAGAGGGGAATAATGAACAGAATGTGGGTGAGTGGCAGAGCTGCTGATTTTGCAATGGATAATGTGTCAATGGAAAGCTATTCAGGAACAAATAAAATTTAGTTCTTTTATGCTGAAAAAACCCAAACCCTGGTAAATCCATGCTCTGTGTTGTTAAACCCATTTATTAACTTCCTGCAGGTATGAATTAGGAGCAGCTTTGTTCATTGGATGGGCTGGAGCTTCACTCTGCATAATTGGTGGCAGTATATTCTGCTTCTCAATAGCTGAAAACAGCAATTCTCCAAGGTAAAACACAAGTTGTCCTTATCCAAAGAAATCAATACTAGCACATTTGTACCCACTATGTGTATACGGTTTGATTACTTTTCCAAAACACTTTGTAGTGAGGGTCAGAAAAAGATGGTGTGGATGTAGAAAAATAATGGGATTTAAGGATAATGCTCTGTCCATCATTAATGTAATGAAGGAAAGCTATTGAAACAAGAACTTATATATACTTCATAAATTTACTGCAGCTGAGAAAAAATGCATATTCAGTGACGTAGGAAAAGTGGTCAGGTCACTTCACAGGTGTGAACAGGCAAGTTTCTTTACTCCAAATCATCAGATCAAAAGTGAGGGAGGTGAAGGACAGCAGTGGTGGCAGCAGGACCTCCAGCAGCAGAAGAGGGTAATAATGAGGCACAGCTGCAAGGACTAACTACCTCATAGGATCTGCCACAGCCCAAATATTTCATGATTGGGCCCTAATTTACTTAGCTGTGAACAAGGGATATGTGTTCATAGAAAAGTGAGTTGCGAAAAGAGATGCTGGAGGCAGAATGTCAAACCAGGATGAGACTACATAGGGAAAGGTGTCCCCCTTCACCCTCCTTTGAGATTTATCATTGTTGGAAGTACATTCTTCTTCCTTTCATCTAGTTTTATGTTACTGTAACACTTGGATGCAGAGATGTTTTCTGTCTGTGGGATAAGCTGTGAATGGTTGATTCTCTTTTCAGGAGGGGGTATGCATATAACGGAGCCACATCTGTGATGTCTGCTCGGACAAAGGTCCAGAACAGCATCCCAGACAAAACCACACCAAAGCACTTTGACAAGAATGCTTATGTTTAAGTGTACTGTGGGAAGATTCAGAGCGTTTTAAAGATGAGTTTGTACATTTCATTCAGAATGATTTCCCCCACCCCTTACTCCAATGTACTTACCACCAAGACAATGACTTTTTAAAACATTAACTTGCAGCTTTTTACATATTGATGTAAATTTTATTATATAATATTTTACGATGGATGTTGGTATTGTAGAATTTATACCTGGAAATCATGAGCTGATGTTGCATTCTTCATAAAAATAAATGACGTATTTACCAATTTGGCTTGTCAGTTGTTTATGGGAATGGCATCACATGCATCGTTTTGACTGCATCCGTTTCTGAACTGGGTTCAGTACTGGACAAACCAACCACACTCTGTGCAGGTTAACACATAAAGTATCTCACCATTGAGTAGCAGTGACATTGGGATAGCAGAGCACATACTAATTGCAGTCCAGCCGACCACAGTCAGTGGGAATTAGGAGGCCCTTATCTCCTTATCACGCTACAGGGGTTGGAGAACCATGCAGCTTGATCAATGTGGTGCCATAGGAGTAGGAAGAGACTGAGCGAAGTGAAAATAAGTATGGGATTTGGGGAGGCAAGAGCAGGCATTAAGAAGAGTCAGGGCCAGCTGTTATGGAGAGGGTTTTGCATGGCCTAAGAGGAATGTATGCATGAGAAGAAGCATGCATGTGTGATCGTAAGCTTTCAGGTGTGTGGTGGGTCAAGCAGAGGCTGAGTGAAGCTGCAGCCCACAGGGAATTTCTGTGGTGGGGAAGCCAAGGTTCCAAGATGGTTCCTACATTCTGCACCTGCGTTGTGACAGTGGGCTCCTCCCTGCCTCAGCACTCACCCCTGCTGGTGACAAATCACTTCTGGGGGGGTTGGTTTTGTTTCCTCAGGCTGGGCAGGATGGAAATCTTTTGCTCCAGAGTGGCTCCAAGCCACTGGGTTAGGAAAGCAAAACCTTAGGCAATACCACCTGCTCCGCCATTGACATTCCTCAAAGTGACCAAATAAAAGCAGGCAACACTTAACAGCACTGAATTAGTTACAACACTTAAAAAAAATCATCTAGTACTTTATTTTTTACCTGTCCATCAGCATGTGATGGTTTTTGAGGGAATACTTGCACAATGAGTCAGTAAATGAGATCAGAAGTTATGGATAACCACAAAATGCCTTTTGGACTGAGACCTTAAAATCACATACAAACTCAGGTCTCCCTTGAGGTTTGAACTGAGGGACCCTTGGGGTTTCAATGCATTAGTTATTTTGGAACAAAAGTATAAATATAAAAAATTAATAGCCCTACTTATTAATGGCACAGTATGACACAAAAGGTTTTGTACCTGACACCATCTAAAATGCATCAGAACTACAAAGCCAGTTGTTCCTCTTCTACTTTATTTTGTATTTCATTAAAGTCAAAACACTATTGTGTTTTTTAAGGAGGCAGCCAACATGAACAAAACAGAACTAAGAAAATACTTCCGCACTGGCAGGTCAGTGCTTTCCTCACCTTAGCTTCATGTTTTGGTGTGGGTTTTTTTTTCTAATGCTTGTGCTTTTATGTAAACTAAGAACCAATTCTAATGAATAAATAAATAAAAAGAATAAAGTCCCACTATATGGGGCTTTCAATAATAATCAGTTTTAGAGCTGAGGCCTTTTTTTTTTCCTTTCCATTTGGTGTTTATTGTAAAGCATGGTAAAAACTTAACATTTTAATAAATGGAATTACTGTCTTTAAAATTTTCATCATTTTATATAAAGTTTATGATAAAATACAAGAAAATATGTGTTTAAAATATTTGTAAAGCAATACTCTGCAGTCACTTCTGTTCACTGGCTAACATGCTTTCTTGCAAGACCAGTTTCAATCTTTAATGTAAACATTAGAGGCAAAATATTCACCTCAGTGACATGAAAGAGACTTTCACCATTGAATTCATGAGAAAGAAGAATTAACTCTCAATTTTCAAACAGACATGGCCAGTAACATGTAGATGAGTATTCTTGTTTCAAATTCAGGACTGAAGACATCAGAGTTCTGCAAAGAGTACTCCTCGTTTTGTGATCAATATGAGAAATTAATAGGAATCACTTGATGTTTTCAGCCATATTTTCAACACCAACTGAATCCAAAAGTAGTGCCTCCCATCAGGAACACAGCTATTATGTATCTGAAGAATCACTCCAATCTGTTACGGTGACTAAGCTGCTTTTTAATGTGCTTGTGTTATCAGCTTCATGAAGGCCTGTTAAAATAACATAACAATATTAACAATTATTAATACTATTTTGGGGGTATTTTTACTTTGTATTTATCTATGAGATAAAATGACAAGCCATGTGAACAAACACCTGTGGACTTCAGGAAGTCTGGAATTTCAACGAATGAGGAAATTACAAGTGCTGATAACATGAAGGCAGGTTCTTTGACAGAATACAATGCACAGTACAAGCAGTCAGTGTCAACGTTACTTTCCCTTTAAAAATAATCTGAGGAATCTTTATATAACTGACACAGCTTTAACCTTTACATATATTGAAATGTTAACACTAGAAACTACTATGTAAATTCTATGGAAGACTGAGGCTATTGCTTTACCAGTAGTTCAAATATTTATCTCAGCCTGGTAGGTCACTTAGATAGCTTGAACAAACCTGAAATTTTAGTATTATTACTATCAAGACTAAGTAAGAATGTTTCCCTCCTCTCTTAAATTTGGGAAGGGATTAAAAAAGCCCAATACTTGATTTTTAAGACAAGGTCAAAGCCTGATAGTACTATACTTTTTTTAAATCTCAAACTTAAGTTTCTTGGGACCTCTGTGTATTTGTGGTGTGTTATTTACATACAAGTACGTATCATAAATATCATACATGATATTTACACGACATATAACCAAGCACACAGTTGTTCTTACATGTTCCTTTCTTACAAAATACCATATATTGAGTTACAATGTGTAATACACTATACTTGAGTTCTTCTCTAGGTGTGTCAGTTGCTTAAAGCTTATAATGTAGAAGTACAAATGTGTTACCTTCCTCCTTTGGTACATTTGTCTTCGGAACAGCCCATGCATGTACCGTAGGTGTAGCATTTGACTCATTTTTCTGAACTGTCAATGCCTTCTGACCTCTGTTGTCTTTCATCAATAAAATGTCATCTTCTACTGATGATATATCCCAGTCATCATCATCAACTTCTGTGAACTAACAGAGAGAAGAAAAAACATGGATTTTTCCTCTGTCTATTCAAGTTGTGCTGAGATCTTCCATATACTCAGCAATGTGAAACTGCTACAGAAAAATGCACTGGCACACCCCTTTACGATATCTATCACCATAATTTTAAAATCCAAAAGACATGATACGTTTTCATGCAAGCTGGCAGGTCAGTTTGCTATATAAGCATTCTGTATACACATTAGAAAAATTTCACATTGCAATGAAAGCCTTTTCAATTTAAAACTAATTTATTTAAAGAGAAAATGAAATAATGAAGGTTTAAAAACCCACATGTGCTTGAAGTCACAATACGTATTCCTCTTAACACTCACCATCAGCATGTACAAGCATATTTTTAATGAAGTGGAGGATTTGCATAGTGAGTTCACAAAATGAGAGTCAAGTCAAACAGAAGAACACAAAGGCAGTAAGCCTGAGGTCTGCCTTACCTCACCTGCCTGAAAACTACATATCTTCATTCAGCTTTTGAAAGAAGACTACAGCATTTCCCCGCTTGTCAATCAGATGTGGTTCAACAGAATCATGCCATTATTAGAGAGCCTAACTGGGGAAAGAAGTTTTCCCACAAAACTAAAACCTTGTTTCACTGGCATCTCTCAGTATTACAATAAGATGCAGAAGGTGCTTCTATTGCACAGCAGAAAGATTCAGATGCTATTAGAAAACAATGTGAGGTATGTACATAGTAGAGAAAAATCAACAAATATGAACGTGTCATATGTCTCGAAAGAAGGGAAGAGACTGCAGTAATGCTCTACCTTGCAACATAACTCTATTTTAACAATGCAAACTTTTTCAAAACCTGACAGATCTGATCAGTGTGCTATATTATTAACATACCACGATTCAACATCTTGCTGTTTTAAACTATCTCCATTTAGAGGGTGTGTTAATGGGAAAGTCAAAGTCACATAGACTAAGAAATGCTGGAGGAAGTTTCATCAAATATTCACTAAGTCTCAACTGATTTTTAAAGTATAAAATATAGAGAAAAAAGGTCAACTTCAAACAGAAATCACTTCAACAGAGTGTAAATACACAGCACCAATCCAAACTGCTAAGAAGTTTTATTAAGTCCAGGACTTACCCTAAAAGAAATACCATTAACCACAATGTCTGGTGCAGGTGAACTCAGGTCATACATCTTCAGGTAAGCACAAAATTCATTTTCTCTAAAATGCTTCTGAAGTAACTTCTGTGAAACATGACCTTTATAAAATATACCACCCTTATAAAGGTTTATGGTATTGTGGGTTTTGAGAATGACCATTAGCAGCTGTATTTCAGCTATTAGTATTTAAGCTAATAAAAAAACCCTAGACTTTTGGAGAAACCATCATTCCAGTGGCACTTTTTGCTTATGTCTTTGGGCACCTTTGAATATCCCTCCTAAAATTTGAAGAATTAACTCGAGCTATACATCTATATTTAAACATATAAATATGGACCTGAATATATGATCTGGACTCACTCCAACAGGTCCACGTCCACAGGCCCCAGAGCTAGAAGCAATACTCCAGGTAGAGGTCTCAATGACAGGGGAATAGAGGGGGAGAATCATCTCCCTCAACCTGCTGGCCACACTCCTGTTTATGCAATCCTGATGACCCTCTGTACTGGGAGTGCATGCTGCTAGCTCATGTCCAATCTTTCATCCAATATCCCCAAATTCTCTCTATAGGGCTGCTCTCAATACATTCATTCCCATGTCTGTACTGATGTTGGGGATTGCCCTGACCCAGCTGCAAGACCTTGCATTTGGCCTTACTGAAGCTCATGAGGTTCACACTGGTCCACTCCTCAAGCCTGTCAAGGCCTCTCTGGATGATATTCCTTCCCTCCAATGCATCAACTGCACCACTCAGCTTGGTGTCATCTGCAAACTTGCTGAGGGGGCACTCAATCCCATTATGTCATTAAAGATACTGAACAGTACTGGTCCCAGTATGGAACCTTGAGGGACACCATTTATTACTACATGCTACTTGGACATTGAGCCACCGAGTGTAATTCCTTGGACACGGCCACACAGCCAATTCCTTAGCCATCTAACAGTCCCTCCATCAAACCCAATGTCTCCAATTTAGAGGCAACAATGTTGTGGGGGACTGCCTTCCAGAGTTCAGAAGATGACATCCATAGTTCTTCCCTTATCCACTGATGCAGTCACTCCATTGTAGAAGGCCACCAGATTAGCCAGGCACAATCTGCCCTTGGTGAAGGCATGTCAGCCATCTTCAATCACCTTCCAGTCTTCTGTGTGTTTCAACATATCTTCCAGGAGGACCTGTTCCATCATCTTACCAGGCACAGAGGTGAGGCTGAGCGGCTGGTGGTTCCCACAGTGATCCTTTTTACTCCTTTAAAAAATGGGTTTGCTGTTTCCCTTTCTTCCAGTCAGGGACTTCACCTGAATGCCATGACTTTTCAAACATGGAGAATGGCTTGGCAACTACATCAGCCAATTTAAAACCCTGGGCAGCATCTTCTTCAGTCCCATGGAGGTTCAGGTTCCTCTGGTGGTCTCAAACCTGATCTTCTCCATGACTTCATGCCCCCAGTCCCTGCCTTGAGGTTCAGGGGCTTGAGGGATATGGTAAGAAAGGTTATCAACGAAAACGATGACCACTTTAAAACACAGATTTTACAGCTTATTTTGCTACAGTTCTTTCCATGTGAAACTAACATAGTGGCTCACCATCTATAGATCTTTACAAAATCTAACATCCCCTAAATTTAACTAATAACATTTTACAGTCTTCTATTATCTGACATTGAAGAGAATCTGAAAGTAATATTTCTACATAAAATTACACTGAAAATAGTCATGTCTGAGCTGGTAATTTTGAGTCTGGTGGAATTTGTAGCTCCCACACAGTCAATGGACAAGTCAGGTGTCACCAACTAAAAACTAAAAGCACAAAGGCTAAATGTGATTGCCCTACAATTACATCCAAAGTTGATTAAGACAATCGCCCCTTTCTGGAAACTGAAATAGAAGAGTCACTGCTTCTGGGAGGAGTGATAATTTTCAGATTTAACTGGCAGCCAGGAAGCCCTAAAGTATCAGTTTTATTATGGATAACAGGATTCTTAGTAATTATTATTTGTTTATTTAGTGAAGAAAATATTTTCTTGAATGCTAGAATTAGTGTCTGGCTGTCTATTTCAATCTAATAACAACTACTAGAAGTCAAATAAAAAGCATTATCTGCTGTTGACTTCTGGTTTGGAGTAATTATTTTTCCTTTTAAAAACTGTTCAGGCAAAGATCAATGTGCATCATAGTAGTTTACCAATTATAAAACTGTAAACTGAGGGGAAGACTGGGACCCTAGGAGCCTGAGGGGTAAAGAGTAAGTTGTGTTAGCATTGTGAACACATGCCATACTCAAAAATGGAGTTTCCCCCTCATTTAAAACTTCCATATCAGATGAAGCTCTAGAAACAAAAATATTTTAAATTATTAGATAAGCAAATAAATTTTTTCCTCCATGAAAACAAGATACTAGGAAAGCAAGTAAAGAAGGGGTCTCTCTGTTACTAGAATAAGAATCACAGAATGCTTTGAGCTGGAAGCGGCCTTAAAGATCACCTAGCTCCAACCCCCCCGGCCACAGGCAGTGACACCTTCCACTAGACCAGGTTGCTCAGAGCCCCATCCAGCCTGGCCTTGAACACCGCCAGGGATGGGGCAGCCACAGCTCCTCTGGGCAACCTGTGCTGGTGTCTCAGCACCCTCACAGTGAAGAACTTCGTAAAATCTTATCTACATCTACCTTCTTTCAGTTTAAAGCCATTACCCCTTGTCATATCCCTTGTAAAAAAATCCCTCTCCAAATTTCTTTTAGCCCTCTTTAGGTACCGGAAGGCTGCTGGAGGGTCTCCCTGAAGCCTTCTCTTCTCCAGACTGAACAAGCCCAACCACATCTTGTCTCCATAGGACAGGTGCTCCAGCCCTCTCAGCATCTTCATGGCCCTCCTCTGGACTCTCTCCAACAGGTCCACATCCTTCTTACATTGGGGGACCCACTACTGAATGCAGGTGGGGGTCTCAGAACAGGAGATAAAAATGACAGCAATTGTGCCCAAACTTTGTGCTAGCTGTTAACAACCCAGAACAGTCATGGTATAAGGTAATAAGCAGTGTACACGAAGAAGTCACTTGCCACAGCTCACTTGCTAGCCCTTTTCTATACAACAGTGCAGGCCTGCCCGGAGAAACTATCTAGCTGTAACTCCAAAACAGTATTTTAGAATGAAGTAATTCACTGTTTCAAGATAGTTTCAGCATGAAAAAAAGTAATACACATATATATATAGTTCAAATATTTAATGAAATAATAATGACTACTAAAAGAGATACCTTCAGTTCTTTCACCTCTTCTTTCTTTATAAACGCCTCTGCAACATTAACCCCTCCAGCTGGTTTGTTCTTATTTCCATGGTTAGAAAGACTCTTTCCAACTTGTTCAGTCAGCTTTTGAATAACTGTTCCTAAAGTTCATAAAAGATATATTGACAGTTTCCATTCACCAGGAAGGAGCTTTACTGTAAACATTCTGGAAATCTTCCACAAAGTAGGAATAAGTAAAAGAAAGCTCTCTGAGGCAAAGATTGTGTCTTTTTCTGCACTTACATAAAAAGCATGACGCACATCTAATTTGAACTTACATCTTTAAGTACTATATTAATATAAACACATGAGCAAAAACAAAGTGCGTACAAACATATACACATTCTAGACTAGTCTGCCTTCATTAAGTTTTCTAACACAGAAATATTATCAGGAAATGGAAAGTCATGCACAGCTTTTAGGACATGCATGTACAAAAGTAGGGAAAAATACCTTTTGAAGTTTTGGCAGGTGTTTCAGTTCCAACAATTCCGCTTTCCTCTGTCCCATCCATATTGCTTTTGCCAGAAGCCTTCTGAAGAACACTGACTTTGCTGCTTGATGTTTTTGACTGTTTTTGCAACAATTCTGGTGATATGTAAGACTGTTTAATGTCATCTTCATCTACTTCTTCTTCTGAACTGAATGGTGGAGTTCTATGCAAAAAAAAAAAACGAAAAACAAAACACCAAAACAAAACCCAAGGACTTACTGGGTTTCAGCAACTGCATTGAGATATATATATATACACACACATATATATGCACACACATATCTATATTTATTTAACCTTCCTTTCCAATAACATGCATTTTCCTTAAGTGAAAAAAACAAGAGCTCTAATATATCTTAACTATACATAAAACCATTACAAAAAACAAACCCACAAAAACCACACTGCTAAGTAAACTCAGAAATTTATCATAAAATGATCTGTTACATAGATGTGACTACTTCCATCTATGCAACTATCTTTTATGAAGTAACAGACCAATGTATAAGAAGTCTTGCTAGGCAAACAAAGACAAGCAAACGGATTAGCAGGGAGAGCAAAGATAAGGGTCAAGGAATCTGCACCACAGAACATCTGTTATGACTGCGTTAGATGAAAATAATTTAGGAAATCTTTTTTTCAGTGCAGGAAATAAAAAAGTGACATATCTGAAGTGAGTGGAATTTGAAATACTGTGCTTAATTTTGGTCATAGCAAGAAAATGTCAATAAACAGAAAAAAAAGGTCACACCAGTCTTTAACTGCTTTTAACAGGGTCAGAAAAAGCATCTGAGAAATAAACTGAAGGAAGTGATACTGCCTGATTTTACTGAATGTCCCTCTCTAGTTCACAACCAAGAAAACATCTGATAAAAGCAGAACAGGCTATCTTTCAGGGATTATAATAACAGACTCAAATAGTACTTTAAATATGAAATACGTGGTCCAGAAAGTGTTTATAGTTTTAGCTTAATTAATAATAGCTTTTGTGAATATTCAGTCACCAAAAATGTTTTCTTCAAAAATACAAGGGAACAAAACATACGTGTTGCTAGATGTCTTCTTGGCAGCAACATTTCCCAAAAGCTTTGTGGATCTAAAAATAACAAGACAAGTTGTTTCAAGACTGACAGTCAACTAAGTAAGAATAAAGTTTATACAGAAGTAATATGAACTCTTTGCTCAGTTCTTTCAATACCAGCAGGAAATCGTTACATCAGCCAAAAAACCCCAAGCCCACAGGATGGATACGTAAGCTATGAGTACTGTGAGAACAGCATCTCTTACTTGGGTGTAGAGGTATTCTCAGTGATGGCTGGTCTTTGTTCGGGTGGGCAGACAGCAGTTGCAGAGCGTTTTACTTGTTTTCGTGGTGTGGCAGATGGGGAAATTCCCAGTTGATTGTGCCTCTGTTTACCTACAAGAGAAGTTATCTATTGCATCATTAGAAACAATGTTTGGTTTCTTTCATATTTAATTTCTCAAAGTAAAGATGCCTCTGCTGCAGATTATAGTTTTACAAAAAAAGAAGGAAAAAAGTTTTTTTCTTCTTCAAAGCAGTTCAGAGTTACCATGTGTCTTGCCAATGCAGGAGCTAAGACTTCTGCATTTAAACACAATGTCAAGAACCCTTTAAAGAAAACTGTTTAGCTGGTCATAATGATACAGAATATTTATACAACAATTTATGAAAGCAACTATATAGAAATGTTGTTAAGCAACACCTTAAACAGCAGTTACAAAACATAAGAGAATGAAAAAGCCAAAACCCGCTTTAACCTTCTGAAGGAAGCTGAGGACAGGAAACAGGTCTATTACAAGACAATGATTTCTCTTCAGCCCTAAAGCTGACTTGGCGTTCAAGATGCTCTCGAATTCGGTGAAAGTCAGGCTCTTGCTTCTGTTTGCATTCTCTAGCAGATTCAATAGCATGCAATATTTTATTTAAGCGATCACTTGGGATACCACGGACACCCTAAGGAAACAAAATGTAAACAGAGGGGCTATTATTTCTGGCATTTATATCCTAGAATCATATACACTCTTTCAAACTTCAAGTATTACAAAGCTTGGACAAAAATCATGAAAGTTGATAACACTACTTACACGTGTTGCCATATCCTTCACAGCTGTAATTGATGGCCATCCTCTCAGGTTAATGAATTACACTTATTTGTAACGTGGAAATTCAGCTTTGGATTTTACAGGCTGAGGGTTGTGGTACAAGAGTGAAAGACAATACCGAAAGTGGGACAAAGATTCAAATAACTCAAAATAATCTTACTGCTTTAATTCCCAAAGATTCCAGCTTCTCCTCCAAGGCTTGCTCCAAAAATACTCGTAATTTTTTAGTTAAAGAAGGATCAGTCTTCAAAGCATTTAATAAATACTGGTTACTTCTACTTGTTTTACGATCAACTCTCTCAGTTTCTAAAATAAGAATGGAAAAGTGCACTTAAGAGACACTTGAAAAACCTACAGTACATGGGACAATTAAGAACTGCTCTGAAGCATGCATTTTTGATAAATACCATAGACATACATGTGCACTTTTGGCCTCCATGGAATTGTATTCCTTTTAAAATCTTGGGCTAACTTACAAAAGTCAGCTCACCTGGAATCTGTATCTCAGCACCTCATACCACCACAAGTATCCTTTACTTTTCTTGCTACAGAATCACTGTAAAGTTATATGCCTGAATATTTAGCAACAAAGATCTTTACTACTAGAACTGTACTTGGTAACTTCTGATAATGAAAGACTATCCTCTGATAACTAAGTTCTCTAAAAGTGTTCTTTCAAATCAAAGCTGAAGTCTAGCAGGAATTAAAACAAGAATATACCAAACTTATTAAGAAAAGCTTTAAACAATGTAATGCTCCCTAATGAGAAACACCTACTGAAACTGGATCTTCGGAAAGTAGTAACACCTTCAAAAGTCTTGGTAAAGACAAAACCTTAGTCTGAGGTTTTCTCCAAAACTCTATCAAGGACAAAGTTCAGTGTCGTGTTTTCTTCTATGCAGGTCTATGACATCATACATACTTGAAAGCAGACAAAGAAGTTTCTATCTTCTTCCCTTGCTTTAAGCATCAGTAATGACAGAAACTCTTATGCAAGAAATAAAGAATTATCTAGACAGATTCTTTCATTGAAGAATCTTGACATTTAAGTTAGGCTAAAGTATTATAAGGTCATACAGGGGAGTAAAGAAGCAAAACATACCCATCTGGAACCTGCCTATAAAGGGTTTCTGGAAGACGAAATTTTACTGAATGCCACTTATGCCAAGTGAACCAATGATCTGCAGGACTATGGTAGCTGCTTCTGTCTGGCAGTGGTCAGCAAAGCTGGCAAAGCATACACAACATCCCAAGAAAGTGTGCTGTAAACCACACTCCCAACTTCACCCCCTGAAATGGTACATCTTGGGCAGGAGTTTGTCTCTTTCCAATATGCCTTACAAGGCAGCAGAGTCATTTGCCAGCCCACAGACAAAGATATAAATGAAGAAATAATCCCATATTATGACTTTTAAATGTTTTCTTTCAAACTAAACATGCAACTTTTTCTATTTTTAAATAATGGTTGCTTAAATAGCAGCTCCATTTACTTTTCATTTTTCTGTAAGGGAAAGATAAGCACCAGGAAGAGGACCCAAAAAAGTCTCAAGATACACAAATGGTATATTAGGTTACTGTGCAGGATTGGCTTCCAATAAATAAAAGAACTATAGGTAATGCAAAGTGAACAACAGTCCAGCTACCATACTAACAGATCTGTGTTAAAGAGGACAGAATCCAGCTGAAATCTTACCTGGCTTTGGGAACTGTGTGGGCAATTTAGTCCCTGACAGAGGTGGGATGAAAAGTGATTTGAAAGTTGAGTCCTAGAAGAGGCAAACTGCTGGTTGGTGAGGAAACAGAGATCTACCAGATAATCCCCAGTCAGGAAAAGGTGCATTATATAGCATGAAAAACTCCCAGAAAGCCAGACAGGAAACATTTTAAAATGGAATGCTTCAAGGAGCCTTCTGAAAATCCCACTCCTTTCAGATGTTAATCCTCACAATAAAATAGATCAATCTACAATAATTTTAAAATTCCTAATTGCTACATACTAATATGTGTAACAAGACTATCCAGCATTATCCTTATTAACGAAAATATTCTTTCTTGCTAATTAACTCAAGCCAAATCCTCTTTGCCAGAGCCAACTAGTTACGGATCTATTTTCTCCCTCATTCTTGGGTTTTTTAAAAAACAAACCCTAAATGCTAGATCTAACAACTTTGAAGAAAAGGGACCCTAACTCTGGATCACTGTCTCAGCTCCTACATAATTCTATGAAATAATGCACCAAGTCAAGAATTTTCACACTCTCCCTTACAAATGGCTGTCACCAAAACCAAAAAAATCTGGGTCTATCTTTTCAAACTGCATTCTTTCCTTCCCTCTTTAGTACTGCAGGCCATGCCTTTAGGCGCAGCAGAAGAATCAAAGACAATCCATCAAGAGAGATGATGGCAAGCAAGAGAAATAGCAGAAAGAATGGCAAATATGTGGGCAGTCTTTATTTCAGATTATTCAAGAGTCAATGGATTTTCCCTAGGGAAACCTCTCAGTGACGCACAGATGTATTCAAATAATAATTCTGCTTTCAAAACAGCATAATCCCTTAAAAAATTTAAACTCATTGGCTATAAGGTTCAAGACTGATATTGATTTTTGCACACAGTACAGATTATTATACTATTCAGCTATTTCGTGTTTCATGTAAAGTACTGTTAGCCTTCTTCAGGAGAAGAATACCATGCAGGATGAATCAATGCTTTCTGTTCTGTCACTGTAAATGTGGCCTTGTCCAAGTTTTCCTCAGATGAAGCAGAAGAACAGCTGCCAACAGTGGGCTACATCATTTCATTTGGAATTGCACAACTCTGGCTGGATCTGTGCTGCTTAGAGGTAGGTGTAATTGAAGATTACTTGCAAAAGTATCTTTGGTGTGTTTGTGAAAGTAGGCAGCTTCAAACTCCACCACCAACTTCCTTCTTTTATCTGAACTCTTCACCCTCTTATGCAGAGTTTGAAAAAGAAGGAGCACCCACTGCAACAGCATCAGCATCAAACATTTTTGCTCTGCTTAGCCCAAGTGCCTCTAGACATATGGAATATGCCTGCTTTAAAAAGTTTGCCAGATTTTCACAAAAACATTGAATTTGGATAAGGAAATGGTAATATTTACAAGCATCAATAGCAAATAGGAGACTGACACAAACAAGGAATGTTCCCACCCAAATCACATAAGCATGCTGAAATACAATGAAAACCACCACAGGTATCAAATAATATTCACTTTTTTATTTCCAAGAAACACATGCCACTGTACTTTTTGCTGAACCAACCATTACCTTTTTCCTCTTCTGAAAGCTCCTCTATGGGCTCCAGCATATGTACCAAGGGTGCCTGCTCTAATAATGACGAAGAACAGGAACACCAGACAAACAGGACAGAAAAAGGTCAAGGTCCAAAGTGCAAAAGGCAAAAAAAAAAAATACGCTGATGTCAACTTTCCTGATTGCTGACAACCTGCTGAACAATCACAAACCTCATGCATCATGACTTCTCACTGCCTTGGTGGTACACTTTTGTAGAGAAGACCCTAATACAATGGTCACTTCAGGAGTGATCCAGTTGCCCACGCATGTGTGTCTACTGCCATCAGAGCTTTAAACCATCAGCACAGGGCTGGCTGATAGCTCAACACAACTATAGAGAACCCCACACCCTTCTGAGATGGCACCCAAAGGCCAGGTGGGATGTTTTTAGGCATCTACAATGACAAGACCACCTAGAATTAAGTAAATTAATACTATCATTCATTTCCCATAAGAAGAATTTTAATTTTACAATTTATTGTAAAATATTGTTCTGTGCAATTTGATACCGGAAGTTTACAAAGGCAAGTGAAATGGACAGGCACAGAAAACCTCAAAAACATACGGGAAAAATGTTAACTTATTATTCTGCGGAATTATTAAGTACTGAATTTGTACATGCAAAACGTAAGGAAACTTAACATATATATATTTACGATAATTCCCAATAAAACTAATTTAAAAACTCTTTTTGATCACTCCAGTATAGTGAGAGTCAGTATTACCATGTGCTTTAAAGAAATCATGAAATGTCCTCTGCTGAAAACAGCTTCCTAAACACATTCAAATTATCATTCCATAGGCTGCCAGGTACAAAGTACTGCTGTACTTAAGTACACTCTAAAATACACTCTGCAGACTTCAGATATAAGAGATGCATGAAAATGCTTATATGTAGATTAATAAAAATCCAGTTTTTAAAAATGTTAATATTCATCTTCCATAAATTATTTCAATGAAAACTAGAAATTGAGTTTCTTCTAGGGTTTATGACAAAACCAGAGATGTGCAGACTACACTTAGAGCGTTCAACTAATGGCAGTATAGAAGAATACAATTTACTGGCCAGTATTTTGGCCAGGTGTTGGTTTTTTTTGCCTCGGCCTTCACGAGAAACCTCAGGTACTATAAATGGTCGCTACACTCCATGGCGAGAAGGGAAGAAAATGACACTGCAGTAAAGATGACTGCTTTTCAGTACTTCTTGTATAATGAGGTACAAACATAGATGCACTGTGATGGGTAATCACAGTGAAATGAGCACTTGGAACAAAGTGACACTTACAGTCACATCTCCAAATTATTCTCCATCTAAAGAGGACTAAAACTGGTGGTGTAAATGTTTAGGTATGGTAGCTGCTCTCTCCATGCTTTCCATACTTGCAGCTATATTCAGCCTCTCACCTGCTTTTCCAAGCAGGTAACCAGATGTGCTCCCACATAATTTGTACTAAATAAAAAGTTCTTAAAAAAAAAAAAAAAAGAAGCTTCTCACACCACCACAAGACGATAACAAGATGCAAATGTCAATATATTTTACCGAAAAAACAGCAAAACTGAGAGACAAATAGGCTTCCGGTCTTTCAGACTCTAAGGTTGTCAAATTTAACAGCGGTCAAGGCGTTTCTGGGCACTTGAACATGATCCTCCACACTACTGGTACTGGCACACTGTTGCCCTGCACCAACTAACATTCTCCAAAACAGTGTTCGTGCACAGTTTGGGATCGTTCCCAAAAGCCTACACTGAGCCTGTTTTGGAGGACAGAGCCTGAAGCACAGATGAGATCTGGCAAGATTTAATTTAGCTGTATGGGCATTGAGGCCTCTGAGTTTCTTGGCTGGACATACTAGATAGTAAGCCAGTTGCTGTATAATTGGATTCAATCTATACTTGCTTTACCTGTACTTCACTCAAATGCAATCTGCTTAAAGGTGCTGACTCATCTCTGCACAAGCCCTTTTCTGGTAACTTGACAAGAAAAGCTCAGTCCTCAGAACCCAGAACTGAAAAGAGTCTGCTGATCTGGCAAAAAAGGTACTTGCTTCTTTCTTCAGTATACTAGAAACAGAGGAAGTTAAAGATCAGTAACAGAATAGTTGCAAGAGCAAACCCAAAATGTATTACTGTTATGTGTAACACTGTTGTTCATGGCATGATGACAGAGGAGGTTGAATGCTAAGACATGGGGGAGTGCGGTATTTGGAAACACCAACTCCTCCAACATAAGCAGGCTTTTTCTTTCTCTTTACCATAAACATATTCTAAGAGATATTTATTAAACATCACATTGGAATCAAATCTAAAACAATGCTGCTGATACAGACTGAAATCCTAACTACTTTTAATTACTGTGAACTCTAGCTCATCCAACCTTTTTTTGCCCAAAATCTCTCCAAGCCACAATCCAATGCTAGCCTTAAACAAGTAATCACTACAACTTCTGATTTAAGACGAGCCAGTTACCATCATGTCAATTATCAGCCCTAAACCTAGTTCAGCTGACCCTAGGAGATGCTGCTCTACGTCAGCATCTTCAACATCAGATCTTGTTGGTCAGGATCTTACTCCCACCTTTCATCCCAGCCTGAGTGTTGAACCCAGACAGACTACTTACCTTCTTTTCGGACTCACACCTAGAAATAAATTAGTTGTTCCTAGTTACGTCTTAGTTCGCTACTCCAGCTGAACAGCCATATTGTGTCCTTGCCTTACTGGAAGTGGATCCCAGGAGGCTAAAGCAAGGCAGAAGGCATGTTGTTCTAAGCAGGTCACCTGCTTTGGACTACTAGGGTACTGGCAGAATTGGAGATTACATCAGTCTTGCAGTTCAGATCCAACTTCAATTATACTTTTTTCATTGACACAATGTGATTCCTGGCTCTCATCTCCACCCCTTTCTTGGCTATAAAATAGAGATAAATTTCAACTTTATAATTAAACCAGTCAGGTTCTGCTGATACTTTGCTTAATTGATCCTTCTTAACTTGATCATATCTCTCTTTTCCAACCAATGCCTATTTAAACCTATTCCTAATCCTAATACAAGCTCAGTGATCCCTGTAAAACCCTGGTTCAGCAGTAAGAAGATGTCTCTGGCTGATACTAGCCCTTTGCAGATCCTACCATAAACCAACAACTTCCGTTGGCATGGACCACCTTAACTCCAAAGCTAATTCAGTACTTCCTCCTCAGCAGTCTCACACCTGACCCTAGCCAAACAACATTATTACTAAATTCTCTACCTAGCCCCATCACAAATTCTAGACACATCCTCCATGTATGTCATTAGCTGGCCTCAGTCCCAAACCTACCCCTACCTTTATCCTCAGAAGAATAGTTCCTGTCAGCCTCAGGCCTGAACCTAACTAAATGGCAGCTTTCAACACCAGTCTTTATGCAGGCTGGATGTACTCTTATCTCACTGGCCTGAATCAAGACTTATTAATACTAGCCATAATTAAGGCCAGCAACCTTAAAATCACCTCCACAATGATGTCTGTCATCCCGCATCTTTCAGAATATCTCTTCTGCCAGCTAATACACGTGGAGAGATAGAAGAGATGTATCAAAAGTCTTAATTTCTTCAGTGGATAATTAATTATACCACTGAAAAATTATGTACCTGGCATACTTTGACAAATCATTTAATATCAAATATTTAAAAAAATATTTGAAGACAATTTCCATGCAGGTGGTGTAGGGAAATATATTTACCAATAATGAGGAGTTCAGGCTGCATATATTTCAAGCATATCATACATTAATTGTCTGTTCTTATCTACTCGTTTAATTAAAAAAAAACACCAATATTCTGATCATACTACTGGAAAAAGAGTCTTCTGGCCAGCATTTAAAAGAGAAATGCTGTTTATTTCCTCTAAAATATTAAATGCTAAAGAACTTCTACCCTGATCAAAAGTGTAACAATTACCTATAGTGGAGTATCACCTACAGTAAGTACTTTGCACTTGCAGTATGAAAACCCAGGATAAAATGTAGAACTTCTCTGCTGTAAATTGCTGCACTTCTTAAAAGACGTAAGGACTGTAAGCCATGGTTATAGTCATGATACACTCTTTTAATTTATACTCAAATTTCACATCCAAAGAGCTGCCAAACTTCATTTGTGATACCTGTAATTTTGACCATCATATTTGTATCAACACACTTCATATATTTTTCTCCTAACTAATCAATGGGAAGCCATATACTGCACACAGGCAGCATAAATACTAATTTTAAACCAATATTCTTAAATATTATAAATTTTTGACACTTACCTGAGGCCTCTAAGTTAGGAGCCTAGTCATCTCAGACTCCTACAGTCAACGAAGAGACACAGGCAAAGAGCAATTCAGATCTTAGTTCAGGTGAACCAAACTCTGAAGGTGCCCCTTTTCTCTGTTAACTGTCTAGCAAAGCTACTTTGCCTACATTTTCCTCAGATGCTTCAGCTATGTCCCTAATGATAGCTGAGCCTTAGTTTACGCCATGTTTAAAGACTGAGAGGTGGGTTTTAATCAACAACCTAATTAATGTATTTGTTTTTTTAATTACTGTCTTCAACATTATACCTGACATTACTGACCTAACAAAGATTAAATATTGAACAAGTATCAACATTTCAATGTAGGAGGCAAAGCCTGATTTTAAAATATGACTTTTTAAAATAAAAACTCATAATTAATCTGTTGCCTTGTTGTGAGTTTGACGTAATCTTGAAGGCTAAGACTTCAGTTATATCTGCACAAAACCCTACAGCTAGCTCAGAAATAGAGAGAAGAATTGTCAGCCAGGATGGCATTCAGGGCACACTATTAGCTCCTGCAAGAAATCAGGAATGATAATACAAAAGCATCAGGCTAACACAGTTATTGCACTACTTTACACCTAGCATACCTCACTTGTAACTTACATTATCTTTTCATTACACAGATTTAAGATGTGCAGAGTGAATACAAAATCTTCCAAGCAACTTCGAAAAGTGTACTGAAGTTCACATTGGAGAGCCTTTTTCCAGAATTAATTTTCTTTTAAGAAGAAAAAGAAAAGGAAGATATTCCATATGCAGGCAACTGCTTTGTAGGAAAAGTACAGCTCTGGTGATTCCAGAGATGTTCTGTGCTAAATATATTTGTGAACAGAAGTTATGAATGAGTGCTTGTATTTTGATAATGGCACAAGATGCAGCCATGAGTCATAATTCAGTATGTAATTCAATCCCTTGAGGAGCCCTGAAAATTTTGTAGAAGACACTATAGCCTCTGCTAACCTCTATATCCAGAAATTAGGTAGGGTAAGTTTAAAAAACTCCAGAAGGGAAGAAAGGGGACAGACAGAGAGACCTGCAGAGATAAACAAAATAATCATCAGCAAAGGAATCTGAAGGAAACACCTTCGTTAAGGTTTCATAATAAACTGATAGTGAATCTTTTGTGTATCAATGGCAGGAACAGCCTTTTCTATCTTAATAAGTTTCAGAAGGTGCCACAAACTTCCTATTTGGAACAGCAAGAAATTAGGAAAGATCTGATGACCTGATTAAAATTGTCAGAGTACAGAAAATACTAACATTCAGAGAACTGTTTTCCTCCTCAGTACAAATGAAAGTAAATGCACTAAGAAAGCAATGTTTTACAAATTTGCTGTGTAAGCCCTTAGCAGCAACACTCTTCATAAAACTTGTTTCTTAAATTCTGGGCAACAGCTAAGCTACCTGCCCTGAGATCTCTTAGCAAGAGCCAGCACTACTGTGCCGGTGCAATGAAGCTGGTCTGAATGAAAAAGAATGAGATTATTTAAAATACTTTTGCTAATAATCTATTCTTATATATATTAGTACTTTTCTCCACAAAACATTTCATCTATACATTTTCACATAAAAAGCTTCAAGCAGTGAACTGCTAACCTTGAATATGTTAGGAAGAATTCTCTGTATTATTCAAATGATGTTACCATATAATGATCTATTTTCCTTCATTTAATAATTCTTGTCATTACAAATATTTTTAAATCAACACTTCATAATTTTCATTTCTTAATGAAGTTATATTGAAAGCTTCTGTTGTATACTGCCCTTCTCCCCATATGCCTTTTCAGAACTTTGCATTTGTTGTACAAGACAAATTCTGTACATTTTTCTTACACAAATTCCATTTTGTCTCCCTATGACAGGTTTTAAAACTAAGAGATATAATGAATAAAAAATATTTAATTGCAATTCAGTGATTCAAATTATTAAACTGGTTTTTAACATTTAAGCACTTTTTGCTCAAAAGGTCATTTTTCATTACTTTTCTACTTAAAATGCAAATAACTGATTGCAGAATATTGGTACGGCAACTATACTCTCCATTAATTTGCATATTGAGAAAGAAAACTATTTTCACAAGGTACAAAACAATGCAAATGGAAGTTCATCCCTTTCCCCCAATTCTAAACAGTATCACAATGCCCCAAGTTTAAATAAATAATGATCTATATTTAACTACAGATATACTCTGGAAGCACTATCTACACAGGATGGCTGTCTATTCTGACTGTTTCTTCTTTCGTGTTTTTCCTCCTTGCCATTAGACCTCACAAGAAAAATACACTATTCTGGGACTTAAAACCAAGTATCTCCACATATTTCCCTACACAAATCCCAGTACATGTATATACCTATCCAGTATATGCATATACCAGATAAGCACATTTTCTGTAAGAAAATGACATTTCATTTCCTCAATTAGTTTTATTTACCTTAAAGTGCTTCAACACTATACACGTGCTAGGAAATGTTCTCAAATTGTTTGCTTTTGGTTTTCATTTACTCTTTTCAATAGTACATCTTTACAATTACTTGACAGACATTCTCAGTGCTGACATAGACATATAGCAAAGCAATTCCAAATACGGTCTTTCAATGTAACTAACTACTCTTACAGCTATGATTCAACAAGCAACACATTTGAGAAGACAGAGGGTTAGATTTGAAAGTACTGGATCTGGAACTATCAAAAAGCCTTACCATGCATCAGCTGTAGACTTGGTTTAGATTCTTGAAGATGCTCTACAGTAGTGTTCACTAAAATTGCATAAGAGTAAAAAAAAAAAAAAAGTATTATAGTAAGCAATAATACACATATACAGAGTCTAAAACATAGCAATATTTAATCACATTTATAAATCATTTAAATTTTTGCTTTAAGGAAGAAAACTTAAACAAATCATTTAGAAAGTAAAAAATGGTCCTTCACAACATGAAAGTATGTCTTTATATATGCTTAATGTTTTTAATACTTCTAGAATCAGGAAAAGAAACTATTAACTAAATCATCAGTGAACTGGAATGTGATTATCTCTTTGGTCATGTCTGTATGCTGTCTTTATGTCTCAGGAAAGAAGTCTTGGCCCAAAGCTACTTAGTTAAGCCTAACCTGATCAAGGCTTATATTCCCCAAAGAGGATCTACTACACAAAGCCTATGCATATCTCATGTATAGAGTGTAGCCTTGGAGTGAATCACCGCTTCAATTCTACACTCCTCAGATAAGCTTGGGGCCTACGAGCAAAGTCACTTGTGTGCCATGGTCTTATACTTGACTGTTCTTTAGTGTGGCTGGATATCACAAGCTCTAGCTGAAAATGCGTACAGCCTTACTGTTACTATGTTCTCCTCAAACCAACCTACTCCCTGCTGCTAGATTCAGTTCAAACCAATGCCTTGCCAGTAAAGCAAGATGGTTTCCAAACTGGGATCAGAATTAATTCAGATGTCATCATCTATTACAATAAACTTGTTTCAAGCCACTGCAACTGCAGCATCGCCGATATGGGCGTTTGTGGTGCAGGACTAGATCCTAAAACACTATTACAAGGTTTAGTTACTTGTAGGACTTCAGATGTTAAAGCACCTCACAGACAAAAATGACAGAGTTAAAAAATTCTTTGAACATCTGTGCCCTAAATGAAAAAATAATAATTTTTCTTCCAGTATTTTGGCTTTTGTGAGTTCTGCAGCCTAAGGATAGTCAAGCATGCCAAAACAATTAAAATTACATTTCATAAAGCAAAGCCTAAAGCTGCTTACATAATACAAAATACAGCTGCTGCATTTCACATCCCTTTACTATTCAAGCAATCATCTTTCTACATTATGATTCCTTACAGATGCAAAACATGAACTTTGCAAATCCTGACATGAAAAGGGGTAGGTACCCTGTGAAACACAAAATGCCAGTACTGATGTGATTTCAATAGTTAGTTAGTAAAGTTGATGTCTCTATGTTTTAATGAATTGTAACATTCGTTTCAGCCAAGCTGCTGAAATCAGAAAATCTGATTTTTCTTACAGATTGTACTTACCTTCATATGGTTTAATGTTTCCAACTGACCTTGTGGACAATTCTTTAATCTAGAATAGGGAAGACAGATAAATAGTTACAAATGTAAATGATCAATATCTAAAAATGAACATTTAATACAAAATACCTAGTTTCAGTACTATTCCATAACAGAAATTATTGGTTATGATTTGGAGAGAAAAGTTACTACTTTTGTGGAACTCTGTTCTACTGCTTAATGTGTATTTCATTAATGCTTAATGACTACTGAAGACTTATTTCTGTTTGTTGTCTTTTGTGGACTTATGCTTTGTGTACCCTATTTTTTACAAACTATAAAGTGAAATGAGAGCAGGCTTAATAGACCACTTCAGCACTCACAGCTTCAATACTTTCTGCTTCAGCAATTCATGTTCAATTTTGCAAGTCCAGCTCCACTGCAGGGAAACACTTAATTACACGTTTATTTGAAATGTATGAACAGTTCTCCAGTCTGCTCTACAGTTCTGTCTATTTGACACCCAAGACATGCACTGAATGAAACTGAGAGTGTAGAGGAAACTATCTGGCTGTAATTCAGTCTAAAGAAAACAGTAAACTTGTGAGTCCACTACAGGCAAATCACTGAGTTGCTGGAGCATGTCCAAAGACCAAGGCAGCTGATGAAGGGTCTAGAGAACAAGTTTTATGAGAAGCAGCTGAGGGAACTGGGGTTGTTTAGTTCAGGGGAGACCTTATTGCTCCCTGCAACTATCTGAAAGGAGGCTGTAGTGACGTGAGTGTTGGCCTCTTCTCACAAGTAACAAGCCACAGGACAAGAAGAAATGACCTCAAGTTGAGCCAGAGGAGCTTTAGGTTGGATATCAGGAAAAATTTCTTCATTGAAAGTGCTGTCAAGCATTGGAACAGGCTGCCCAGGGAAAGTGGTGGAGTCCCCATCCCTGGAGGTATTTAAAAGACGTTTAGATGTGGTGCTTTGGGACATAGTTTAGTGATGGACTTGGCAGTGCTAGGTTTATGATTGGACTCCACGATCTTAAGCGTCTTTACCAACCTAAGCAGTTCTATGATTAAAACAATGTTCTGCACTCCAATTCCCCAAACAGAAGTCCAAGCCATAGAGACACACAGTCAATATGCAGTCAGAGATACATCAAAGACCAAATGCCAGTAAAATGTTTCTCTGAAACATCAAATGCTTCACAAAACAGACCTGCTTCTTCTGAGTAACAATCAGATCATTCTGCTCCTGAAGCCTCTGCCCCAACTCTTCTATCCTTCTCTTGTAAAAGGCATTATTTTTATTCAGGTCTTCTCTCACTGATAATTTAAGTTTCTCAATCTGTGACAGCAGCTAGAAAGCAATCAAAAGAAAAGTAACTTCATATTATTATAGAAAATATTTTAATACTAAACAGTTTAAATAAGCAAATGTCATGCTTAAATATTTTTAACTATTTTTTTCCTTTTCTTATTTTTTTCCAGAAAAACCTTAATGTCTCCTGTGATTTCATTGGGATTTGTGTATTTTACAGCTGTCAGGATCACTTTTTATTTACACAAGGAAGGCTACCTAAATCTCAATACAAAGAAAGGGACATGCAAACACATTACTGAGATTGCCTAAAAATAAGACTGCAGGAAAAAGCATACAACTCTACAAAAATATGTGGTTATAAATACTATCAAATAATGTAATCAAATAAGGAGATGAGATGTGAATTTGCATGAAAAACCCTTTAGCTCTGAATGTAGAAAAAAGGGAACAATATGTCTTAAGTGCACCATCCCAAAAGTAATACTTACATTACTCCTCCCTTATTCTATTCTTGCATTGTATGTGGGTGTATCATTAACTACATCCTTTTTGGGGAACGTTCCATGGTTCCTCCCCACTGCTTTCTTGCCAGAGGAGGAGAAGCATTGGTCAGACCACTATGATCTGCTCAGTTCTTACATGTTCACGCAGATGAAAGGAAAATGAAAGGAAAAGAAGCAAGAGAAACAAAGCTGGAAAGAGATTAAAAAGAAATGTAGACATAAAAAAAAATCTGAGGAATAAAGCTCTGTATAGTAAAATACATAAACTGATGCAAAATAAAATGCCATGGTGTTTTTTCCTGGAAAAGCTGAACAGATTCTGCATTAGAAAGCTGCAACTAAAAAAGCAGCAGAGAAGTGACAGAAAAGAAGAAAAAAAAGGAGACATACGGCATAGGTACATGGCAGCAGAAGGTACAGGGCAGGTGAAAGCTACGTGTTGGCAAGTTATATCTAACTTTCCAGCATATCCATGTAACACAGAAAACACTGTATAATGACACAGTCCTTGAAGAACTAATTGTAAGCTCTTCAGAAGAGAGATACAGTTTCAAGTGTCTGTCAGATTCTTAAATGACAAATTCTGTTTCAACCTTAGCCTTGACTGAAATGTCAAGCTCCTAGAAAAGAAAAAGGTAATAAATAGGTCTAAGAGGATACACTCTTACAACTCTTGGTATCTAGGCTTTCTAATGCAACAGATGTATTACAGCATATTTGGAACTACTGAAAGGGTAATAAAAGTAAGAAAAAAAATCTCCTGTTAGTTGGTTTGCTCTGCCACTTACCAGGGCCTTTTCTGTCTCATGGTCATGATTTAGGGCTTGTATTCTAGATGTCCACTTATTTTCCTGCATAGATGAAATTAATATTTACTCCTGTTAACAACACATTACCATTTTAGTTTGATATATGTAGCTCTACTTTTCTAAATAAAGCATAAATACGAAAAAGATTATTGATGATATGAAGCTTGAGTAACCCCATATTTAAGACCTAGAACAGTCATCAGCATGTTTTATACATCTGAGTATGGTTTTCTTACCAATCACTCTAGAAACTACATATCTGCTCTTTAATTTGTATCCATAGTAACTGTAAGAAATACACTAGTATTTTGATGCATCTCTGTGTATTAACAATTAGAGTAGTAAGAGCAGGGCTTTTTTTCCCAAAAATAATGTCATTTCAAGTACTCATTAGCAATGTATTTTGTGTAACGTTGATTAAAAAAGATATTAATGTATGAATTTCACAGTGAAGTGGATCTTCCTTGATGAAATAAAAAAAGACCCATAAAGTAAAAATAACTGAAGTATCTAAACTTCTGGATGTTTAGATACTTCATCTTGATATAGGCAGCTTTATATATCAGCAATAGACAAAGATCTTCACATTCCAAGAACCATGAAATATATAATGCATGTCTCAAAGTGTCAAAAAAAGGAGTAAAAAAGTTTGTGGGTGTTTCTTACAGTCTTTTTTTTTTGTCTTTTTTTTTTTTTTTTAACAGGAACAACCTGGACACAGAGGTGAGTCTCAGAGCAATGCCAACAACCTTGGCCCCTGCGGCCCTTTCTAGCTCAATCTTTCCTACAAGTGGGACTTTGGATTGTCCAATTGATTTGCATCAGCACCAGCATCTGTGCTGGTCAGATGATAATAGTCCTGGTAAAAAAGTTTAACCTGCCAAGCTGAAGTGCTTCATATGGCCCAAAAGTCTTGTGTTAACAGATCCCATCAGAAAGTTTCTCAACTTTTTTTTTTTCATCTTGGATAATGGACAATTCCAGTTTTTAAGTGGCCTCACAGATGAGCAGACATAAATGCTTTACCAGAGCACTTTGGAACCGAACTGCAAGCATACTAGGTAATACTAGTTATATTTAATCACAAAGAATAAGAGAATATAGATAAATAACAATTAGTTCATTTATAAAGGATAAGCAAAATAATGTCTCGATCTCTATTATAAAGATTGTACTAAGTAACAGTAAATCTTCAAAAAGAAGATACTGTGGGCCTTAAGAGAGATGAAAATTTTACTTACGTATTTAAAACCCTATTCAGAGATGTACAAAAATAAGAAGAACACAAGTAGTCTGTCAAAAGCAATACATTAAGTTATAGTGCTACCTGTTTTTCAAGAAGCTTGACCACGCTGTGATAATCCTGAGGACTCTGAGGTTCCTCTTCTGTAAAGTCCTGGCTGTCTTTCAGTGTCCCTAAGTTGGATTTTTGTGGCATACTAGACTTTCGTAATTCTACCAGTTGCTAGAAGAAGGTGGGGGAGGGAGGGGGAGGAGAGAATTTAAGAACATGTATACACATTTTGTTATTTAATACACAATTCACTTTAAACATAACTATACAGAGACTGCATCAGATACTTTTCACATTTATGATGAGTTCAGCATTTATCGAGTTTCACATAATTATTAATACATACATCTAACATAAATACGCCTTGCAAGTGCACGCAGGACATAGCAGATACAAAATACAAGCTACTCTGGTAATACTGTGCGTATTTTGTTTTCTGAGCCACCTATACTTCTACAGCTCTCTTTCTGGTGAAAACTCTGGAAAGCATTTCTAGAGCATGCATTGAAAACACATGCAGTTATACTGTCAGGACTACAACCCAGAGGTTAGTCACCTCCATGTCAGTTACGAGAATATTAGTGTAAGCACACCTAACAGACATCAATCGCATCTACCCATCTGTAAACAGACATTCAAAGGTTGAAAAGCAAGAAAAAACAGACATAGTTGCTGAAGGCATAATTCATTCATCTAGAACAGTGTGATTTAAAAAAGAACTGAAATTATATTCCTAAAGCACCAGTATACAAAGAATTATGGCTATTATCAAACCATTATTTTTAGAGTTTTCTAAGAAGACCTCTAAGATGACTACATCATGTTTCAAATATGTGAAGCTCACTGCCATCTATTATAAGGGATTCATGCCTTAAAATGTTGGAAAATGTAAATCACTTACATTTTCTAATGTTGAATTTCTTGAAGACAACTCTTTAAGCTCTTTCATAAACATCTCTTTCACTTTTTCTATTTCATCAGCCAATTTCTCTTTCTCCTCCTCTTTCCATTTATGAAATGACTGCAGAATTTCTTCTTCTTTTGATTTTTGCTGTTCACATTCCTGAAATTATATGAAAAGTATTATTTGTTATTTTTCCCCACACGCAATACCAATTCAAGCACCCAAACTATGTGTGGGAAGCAGTCACTTTCAGTGGGCAACACTGTCACAACAAAAAACATAAAATCCACCAGTTTCAGAAGAATTTTGGGGTAACAAACTATACATTTTGCTATATTTTGGAAAGACATTTTGGTAGTTCATTATTTTTCACTGAATAACACACGAACAACCTTACTTGGTCATATCAAAGATCTGCTTAATTCAGCATCCTGTTTCTCACAGAGGCCATATCCTGTTTCTCACAGAGGCCATAAGCATTTAGGTGGGAAAAGATAATACCAGGGCAAACAAACGCACACATTCTCCTTAAAAGCCGCCAAGCTGCTAACTGTTTCCAGCTCAGAGGACTTCCACAAGCAGACAGAGTTTTGTAAACTCGGTAACCTTCAATACATTTCTCTTTGTACACTTTTGCAGTCATCCCTTGCGGCTGTGTCAGCTTTTAGCAACTGCAACATCTTTTGCAATGAGCTCCACAAGTTGAATGAGGAAGCAAATTTTGGTTTGTTTTTTTTTTGGTCTGAATCTGGCTCCTGCCAGGTTCATTTGATGGATGCCAAGTCCTGAACTGGAAAAGAAAGTGAATGATTAATACCTATTCACTCTATGCAACTCATCATTTTGCAGCCATCAGTACCTCGCCCTCCATCTCCACCAAGCTGTTGTCTCTTTTTCAGACTGACAACTCTTAGCATGCTCAGTCACTCTAAATACAGATTGATCAACTTTGTAGACCATCTCCATAACTTTTATTAGTATATCATATCATATTTGAGATGAAGGGACTAGACCCACACATGGAATGTAGGCTGTGGCTCGCACAGCCATTTTTCAGACTGATTTGTAATATTTGATTTTCTTTGCTGACTGCTATTAGCCACTGGGCTGATGCTTCCATGGAACTATGTACCTATCACAACCTTAAGATCTTCTCCTTCAGTAAAAAAACTCAGCTCAGAGCCCATAACTTCGTAGACAAAGTTAGAACTATTTTTCCCCATATACAGTTAACCCACTTTATCTGTTAAATTATTTTATCATTCCATTACCTAGTCATTCTCTTTTCTATAATCCTCAACTTGTTTGAAGTCCTGCATTTCACTGCCCAGAATATACACTTTGTAGGCAATCCCTACATCTTTCCATCACAGATTAACTCTGAATTTGTTCTCTGGCTAACTATAACAAGTAATCACTGTACAGTCATGAAGAATGGGGTCTTCCGCATCCTTTCACCTCAAAGGAGTAGAAGTGACCAAGAATTGGAAGTATGACAGTTTTTATCCAAATTCCCTCCAGTAGTGGTTATCCTAAAAAAAAAAAAAAAAAAAAAGAGAAAGATCTTCTGCTCTTTCACTCAAAAGACAACAACATAATGATACCTGAATTGACAGCGGGTGTCAGTCATGGCAGACAATCTGCAACCAGCCACACTCCACATTCCTATCTTGCCTGAAATCCCAGAAAAACACAGAAGCTTTGAAAGCTCCTTGTTGTATAACACTGCAGGCTGCAGCTTCAGGACATTTCAGGTAGTCCACTTGTAGTTAGGAGTCTCAGCTAAAACAAGTGACTTCAAAATAGAGCCCATAGGCACTAAAAAGTGTACACTGCCCTGTTACGCACACTCCAAGTCCCATTTCATAAGAAAAACAATTTGTTAGGAGCAGGAGAAATACATAATTGCTGTACCTCTCAAAAGTGAAGTACAGAATGAATGAGTAGCATGCCTAGCACATGTTCACAAAGGGCTTACATTCCTAAGTAAAACTCTAGCCATGTTCTTCATCTGGTAATTCAGTACTTTTGAAAATGAAAAAAAAACAAAACAAAACAAAACAGGAAGCTGAATGGCCCTGAGAAAAGGGGAACAAGAAGACTGGAGAAAGAAGAGTCTGAAGCAGTGCTCAGGGAAAGAAACACTGTATGTTTTACAGAAGACCAGATTTTCCTCTGAAAACAAGGAAGAAAATAATTAATGGTATCTGTGTTTTCTTTATTTTCTTTAAATTCAAACTGCAAGGTTTCTTTCAAAATATAATGGTTGGCTTTATGTTTGAAGGTCCTCATACTCCCCTAGGAAAGCCATTAAGAAATTCCAAATATTGAGAGAAGGTTCTCACAAGTTAAGTTAACAACCACAAAACACTGCTTTTGAATGTAATACAGGGCAAACTGCAACACAAAGATCAGCATTTAACTCAATCATGGGACATACTTGTTTCTTATGCCAAGAATTTGCTCCTCAAACTGAAGCACAAAGCCTCTCCCCTGCTAAAAATAAAAAACAAAACCCACCCCTATTTCTATAGCAAATTATGGTTGTATTTACTTAAACAGAAATGCAAACTGTGAGATGACTTGAAATTATCAAAGTTAAAAAAAAAAGTAATTATACAGGTAACTTAGAGATTCTAGTTTCTCTTTCTGAGGCAGTAAGTATACTTAGAAGATTCAGTATAATACTAAACAAAGCCTTGCGTGTGATTACAAATAGATAATTACTGCTTTAAAATCATTCTGGTTTAGGGTCTCTTCATTCACACAGCAGTAGCTAACACTACTTTCTGCTTTTGCTCTCTGGTCAGCCAAAGCCTAAGGGTTTACAGATCAACACGCAAGCTCCAGACTGCTTTTTTTTTCTCAGTCTCTCTTCCTTGAACTGCTTTACATCTCTGTTAGACAGCAAAGTTCTTCACAGCAAAGAATAAATCTTACTCAGTTTGTAATGTCACATATAAAATCACAGTTAGATCAAAGAAAGACTTACACACTACAGAATATCATAATGCCAAAAATAGCTTTTATTTCCCCACAGCAAGGCAATTTTATTTGCTTCAGTAACAGCCTATACAGCTTATGAACTCGCAAGTGCTCACAGAAGTGCTGCCTCAAGTATTTATTTAAAATATGTCTAAAATGAAAGTGAGAAAGTGGATATAAGAATTATATAGTATTCTATTATTAGATACTATAATATTAGACAGAGCCTTGGGCAACATGGTTTAGGGTGACGCATTTCTGCCCATGGCAGGGGGGTTGGAACTAGATGATCTTATGGCCCTTTCCAACCCCAAGCATTCTATGATTCTATGAATTACCTGAGGCAAGGGAGGGCTATGTGTTCATGCTCAAGCACATCCCTGCCAGACAGGAAAGTTGTAGATACATTTTGTTCTGTTCCAGTTACAAAATGAATGAACGCAGTCCAAACTACTAATGCTTTTGATACGTTCACATTACTTAGCACATGTTACCTTAGAAAACCTGACCACGTTAGCCTGCTGTTCAGCCTCTAACTGCGATTTGGTGAGCTGCAACTGCTCCTTCAGTTTATCAATCTCATCCTGCAATTTGTCTGTCTTTGCTTTCCTCTTCTGCTCTGCTTAAAGGAAACACAGATTTTTAAAATGTTTGTTGCAGTTTCTGGAGATGTGATACTGCAAATGCATTTCTATAGTGTTTCAGTAGCATCTTCACGAAGTGTGGCTTTCTTAGACCACTTCCCTCCCACTACTATGATTCACCAAAGATATTCTTAAATATATATGTGTTTAACTGCTAACTTATCCTTAAAGACTGAAAATACATGTATCAATGACACATGGAATAGTTTATACAATATTTAAAAGAAAAAGTATTCTATAACCTAATTTCAAAGTAATCTAAGCAATACAGGCTCGAAAATGACACGTGAAGGACAAAGTGAACCTCATTAATTCAATTCTGTTAAGTTTAATTTATTATTCTAAATAACTTTTGTAAGGAATCCATTTGGAATACAACTCATTATTTATCTGGAATGAGCCAGGAAGAATGTCACTGTAAAAAAAACATGTTAAATATGGAAAAACTACAGCAATCTTTAATCTTGAAACATTTTACTAATTTACCAAGGATTTACTAGCCCGTCATCTAGGAATCTGAGCACAATGCAGAATATTATTTAAGAAATAACTGTACAGAGTATTTCCCTCCCATTTCAGCCATTTCAGACTAATTCCTTGTATAATAATTAATTCTACTCTTTCTGCAGCATCTTCCACTACCATTTTTATCAAGCATAAAGCACACAAGCTTTCTTGTTCCAATATATTAACGCTTACTCAGATGCTTACCCAGACCCTCTCACTCTTCCTGCTGTTTTATTTGCCTGACAAGCTACAGTTCAGATCCCACTAGATTCTTCCTTCTACTTTCTCCTCCCAAATGCTCTTTTTTCCTAACTCATTTCTAATCACTGCCATTTGTCAATACCTATTAGTCCTTAGCAATAAAACATAAGCATGCAGCCTAACAGGAAGGAGAGAATTTAGGGATGAATCAAACAAATTTTGAGAGCATTGCTTTTTAACCTAAGTATTTTTCATTTCAGAGAGGCAAAAGTATGTAAATTAGTGGTATAGCAACAGAGTTTACCATAAATACCTGAAGTTAGATTATTCTTGACAGTTTCTCTTTCTCACTATATTTTAGTCAGTTTAGTTCATGAGAGTCTGATCCTATTCAAACTGATTTCAGGTGAGCTGGATTATTATTTGACTGATAATTCATATACATACATATATTCACAAAATGTATTGTCCTTAGTGCAATTTATTCATTTTACACACACCTTCATAATACACATGCCTACACACAAAAAGTGTGCCCTGAAGTCTGCTACTGACTAAAGTATTCAGTGGAAATATTGGTTTGAAAAGGTACTGTAAATATGGCATAAATTTTTTGTTCATTATTTTCTATAGCCTGAAACATGTCACCCAATACATTTTGTCATCAGTGTTGCTTGCATTCACACAAATTGGTATCTGCCACCTAAAAATGGAACCAAAAATCATTCTTCCCAGTTACACAAAACCATGAACTGCACATCCTTACTACATCACATACACCATTTACCTTAAATTTTTTGATAATACTAAAGTACATACCAATCTGAGATTCTTCTGGATGACGTCTTTGCATGTGACTTTGTAAAAAGGAATAGCTCATAAAAGCCTTTTGACAAAGGTGACACTACAAAAAGTAAAAAAAAAAAAAAGAAAAAAAGATGAAACCATGTTAGTAATTGTTAGTAACATCTGTTTGGCAAACCAAGCTCAAATTCAAATATACACCACAGATAAGACACGAGTATGTAAGGAAAAAGTAAGACGACACTATTCAGCAAAATAAACATTGACTCCAGCCAACTAACAGCTCAGGTATTCTTAAGATTCTTGTATTACAGCAAGGGAGAGCACCACACAGCTGGAAAAAAAAACACGGAAGATGGGTTTGACTATACGCGAGTTTTCAGAAGTTCAGACACTCCAAGATAAGGTAACAGTACATCGGTTTGCAAAAAAAGTACATATATTAGTATGCTAACTAGCACAGTTCTGAAGCATAAAGCTGTTTTCAATTACTGTTCCTAAAATTTACTGTTTTTTAATTTCAAGTCAGATTTTAAGTCAAATTTGGATCCTACTTTTTTGTTCACCTTCAAAGTCCATCTCTCTAATGTTCAGAATATTAAAAACAGATGGGCAGTACAAGGACAGAAGCTACATCTACAGATTTTCCATTGCAACATACTGGTAAGCCTATGAATCAGAGCCCCAAATCACTTTAGGGAGGGCTGCTTCTTACTTCTTTCTCATACCCTTCTTTTCAAATAAATAAATTTTAATGAACCACAAATGCTCAGCTGAGGCCTTTTCTCTTTATCAGTGTAATATGACTGTGACTGACTTAACATTCAAGATCTTGTCACCATACTCAAATTCCCAGATTTCATCTAATATTTACACTACTTCCACTGATAGTCAAGTATCCTATTAAATACCTCTTTCAGCAAACTCTAAGGACATAAATTATTCAGACAAATTTTGTTGAACAAATGCAGAAAAAAGTGCTAACATAAAACCATAGTAAAAAGGGAGAGTATGGCAGCAAAGCATTACTGCCAACCAAGAGGGATCTTACAGTGGAACAGATTGTACATGATTTATGGAATGAAATTGGCTGTGAAATAATGTTATCCATTCAAGCACAAACTTCATGTCACTTGACCTGCTGGCAGTGAAAGCAAGCTCTTACTTCAGGAGACAGGTTTAACACAGGGAATATTCAGGTTTTGAATTATGTGACATTATTCTTGCAACTACTTTTCACAGAGTTAGACACAATGTGCACTTCATGCCTACGCTGTGTGTGAGAATGTAAGATTTCTGAACAAAGTATCAAAAAAGTGAAAAACTTATTTAAGATTAAATGTGTACTACTCAGATGAAGGTATGGCCAACAAGTCTTAAATTTAGGACTTACAGGTACCAAGTACCATTTTACAGTAGTATTTCAATTGTGTGGAAGACAACTTCCTTCTGCAAGTAATAGAGGATCCAACAAGGAGAGGTGCCATGCTTGACCTCATGCTCACCAACAGGGAAGGGCTGGTTGGAAATGTGATGTTGCCCTGGTTGTAGTGATCACGAGATGGTCGAGTTCAAGATCCTCAGGACAATGAGAAGAGCGTGAAGCAAGCTCACTGCCCTGGATGTCAAGTGAGCAGTCTTCGGCCTCTTCAAGAACCTGCTTAGTAGGTTCCATAGGTTATAGCCCTAGAGGGCAGGGGGACCAAGACTGTTAGTTGATATAAGGATCACCCACTGCAAGCTCAAGACTGTTGCGTCCCAACTAGAAGGAAGTGGAGCAAGAGAGCCAGGAGACCTTTTTGGATAGATAAGGAGCTTCTGAGGAAATTTAGAAGGGAAAAACAGAGTCTTATAAAAGGTGGAAGCAAGGACAGGCAGCCTGGGAAGAATACAGGGATATTGTCCAGGAAGCTAGGGAGACCAAGGCTAGGAAAGCTAAGACCCAGTTAGAACTAAACTTGGCTAGGGATGTTAAGGGTAACAGGAAGGGATTCTATAGGCATGTAGCGAAAAGACAGACGAGGAACAAAGTGGGCCCTCTCCAGAAACTATCAGGAGAACTGGCTATCCTGGATTTGGAGAAGGCTGAGGTTCTTAATGACTTCTTTGCCTCGGTCTTTACTGGCAAATGACCACACCACCCGAGTCTTGGAAGGCAGACACAGGGACTGTGAGAATGAAGACCTTAGGCCCACGGTAGGAGAGGATCTGGTTCGAGACCATCTCAAGAACCTGAACGTGCAGAAGTCCATGGGACCTGACAAATTCATCGGTGAGTCCTGAAGGAGCTGGTAAATGAAGTTGCTAAGACACTGTCCATTATATTTGAAAAATATGGCAGTCAGGTGAAGTTCCCAAAGACTGGAAAAAGGGAAATATAACCCCCATTTTCAAGAAGGGGAAAATGGATGACCCATGGAATTACAGACCAGTCAGTCTCACCTCTGTGCCTGGCAAAATCTTGGAGCAGATTCTCCTGGAAGGCATGCTAAGGCACATGAAAATCAACAAGGTGCTTGGTGAAAGCCAGTATGGCTTCACTAAGGGGAAATCCTGCCTGACCAACTTGGTGGCTTTCTATGATGGGGTTACAGAACTGATGGAAAGGGGTAGAGCAGCTGAGGTCATCTACCTGGACTTGTGTAAAGTGTTCGACACTGTCCCACACGACATCCTTGTCTCTAAATTGGGGAGACATCAGTTTGATAGGTGGACCACTCAGTGGATAAAGAACAACTGGATGGCCGCATGCAAAGAGTTGTGGTCAATGGCTCAATGTCCAGCTGGAGACCAGTAACGAGTGGTGTCCCTCAGGGATCGGTGTCAGGACCAGTCCTGTTCAATTTTTTTGTCGCTGACATGGACAGCGGGATTGAGTGCGCCCTCAGCAAGTTTGCCGATGACACCAAGCTGTGTGGTTCAGTTGATAACGCTGGCGGGAAGGAATGCCATCCAGAGGGACCTTGACACGCTTGTGAGGTGGGCTGATGCCAACCTTATGAAGTTTAACCATGTCAAGTGCAAGGTCCTACACCTGGGTCGGAGCAATCCCAGGCACAGTTACAGGTTGGGCAGAGAAGAGATTCAGAGCAGCCCTGTGGAGAAGGACTTGGGGGTGTTGGTCCATGAGAAAATGAACATGAGCCAGCTTCAGTGTGCACTTGCAGCCCAGAAAGCCAACTGTATCCAGGGCTGCATCAAAAGGAGTGTGACCAGCAGGTGGAAGGAGGTGATCCTGCCCCTCTACTCTGCTCTCATGAGACCTCACCTGGAGTATTGCGTGCAGTTCTGGTGTCCTCAACATAAAAAGGACATGGAACTGTTGGAACAAGTCCAGAGAAGGCCCACGAGGATGATCAGGGGACTCGAGCACCTCCCGTATGAAGACAGACTGAGAAAGTTGGGGCTGTTCAGCCTGGAGAGGAAAAGGCTGTGTGGAGACCTCATAGCAGCCTTCCAGTATCTGAAGGGGACCTATAAGGATGCTGGGGAGGGACTCTTCATTAGGGACTGTAGTGAAAGGACAAGGGATAACGGGTTAAAACTTAAACAGGGGAAGTTTAGATTGGATATAAGGAGGAAGTTCTTTACTGTAAGGGTGGTGAGGCACTGGAATGGGTTGCCCAGGGAAGTTGTGAACTGGTTGTATTCAAGGCCAGGCTGGACAGAGCCTTGGGTGACATCATTTAGTTAAGGTTTCCCGCCCACGGCAGGGGGTTGGAACTATATGATCTTAAGGTCCTTTCCAACCTTAACTATTGTATGATTCTATGATTCATGGCTAAACTTACACTGGTGGTGGATTAAAGTAATTAAATCTGAATTCCAAAGCATGGTTACATTAAACATAAAATGTACCTCCACTAAAACAGGCGAGTAACTATTTACAGACTCCTTTGCAAAACAGACAAGACTTTAAGGTGATGGAATCTGAAGTACCCCCTCAGGAATACCAGTAACCCCTATTATCTGGCACTGCAGACCACCCAAGATCATGGCATGGATAAGTAACATACAATTATTGTTTATCACACAACTATTGTTTACTGACGACACTGCTACTCTGCACTTACAAACCCTAGGAAGAGTTTCATTTACCTTTGGCACACACACTCAGAACCCTGGAAACCCTGTAGGAACTGCAACAACTGTTCAGTATCACTCCCTGGACTTAATTTTTCCCACAGGAACCTAAATAACTTCTGGAGACAAGAATCTTCTATCAGAGAAAAGAAAAAAAATGGGGACATCAGCTGTTTACTTTATATGAAATGAAATTAAAAACAGGAAATTGCTTTTCCATGTCTGCTTTATTGTAATGCCACTGAACAGAAGCTTACCGATGAGCCAAGTTCACTACCATGTTCTTCAGCTTCCACTGGGACAGCTGCACTCTACAAATATTTCAGGAAAACTTGGAAATACTTAGCTGGAAATCACAGTACCAGAATTATTTCAGTCCACACATAAAATGATGAATGAGATCAGTTTTCTTGTGCAGCGCAGCGCACACAAACTGCTCTGTTTGGCTTTTTAAAATTACACCAGCTTGTTCTTAAGACTAACACTTACATGCATTTAGACAAGGCTTCTTCCATGAAGTCTACCATAAGTATAGCTCTAGTGTTGGGCCAGAAGGTACTTCTTCCCTCACAGAAACTCCTGAGCCAACTTAGCTGATGTCTTGAAATATTAAACTTTACTAGCCTGCTGAAATTGATATCATACTGTGAGATAGGATTGGATGTACTATAAGAAAACTTGTGTTGGTTCTGTATTGCAACTATTCCATCGATTAAGGAGAATTTCAACAATCAGGACTATTAGTACCCAAAGAATTAATAAAACAAAAACAACAACAAAAAAAAAAACAACTAGAACTTTAAACTCATAGACACAAAGAGCTAGCCCAAAATCACATCAAGTCTGTCCAGTGTACTCTCCAGACTTCAGACTACATTTCAAGCTGCAATCTGCTTCCTGCAACCTGTTGAAAAATGCTGAAGCTGAAAAATATTTAAACCAAACTATGACACCCAGAACACAAAAACCCCTCCCCCAAAAAAAGTGCCGTAACACAGGGAGACAGAACAGCTATCTACTAAGACTCTTAAGAAGACCCTTAAGGAACAGATTGTTGTGGAGTTAGGGATTAGCTACCTCACTGGGGCTCTTTACTTTACCATAATGCCTGAGTCACTTCTGAGTCACATACACAAGCAGAAACTTTGTGCCTGAAGAATGTTACTGAAGGAAAGTGGTAACTTGCAGACACGTAAGTCACTGCCTAGCACCAGTTCTGATGTACTTGCCCTGTGTGTTTTCTGACCGTGTAGTTGATACAAAAGGAAAGACAGCAACAGAAAGTAGCAACACATTAATCACAGGTTTTGTATGTGTGTGTATCTGACACTTCAGACACATCAAAAGCAAATCCAAGAATAAAGAGCACTTGTTAGTAAAAAGAGGGCTTGTTAAAGATGATGCACCACTCTCCCGAATGTCTGTGACACCAACTGAAAAGATGGGAAGCAAAGCACCTGCAAGCAATACACTCCCTTTTTGTAGTCACCAGTCCCTGCAGCTCCAGCCTTTCACCCAGCAAGTGAACGTACTCAGGCAAAGCAGAGCTGTTCTGCTGCCTATCCCTGTCAAGGTGTGGGTTACTGGGCCATCAGGACCTCTCCTCTCACCTGGTGGTAGCTGGCTCGGGCCTCCAGCATCATCTGCTGAGTGCTGATCATCTTCTTCCTCCGCCGGCACTCCTCTTTTAGCGCCTTGATCTCCTGTGAGCACTGGGTCATTTCCTTGCCTAGCTGGTCACGCTGGGCCAGGGCGGCTCGCAAGGCCTCCTCCAGGCTGCCGAGCTGGGCGCTAAGGTACTCTTGGGAGTGCAGCAGGTACTCGGTGCAGAGCTGGGCCAGGCGCAGCAGCTTCAGCAGCAGCGGGTCGGCGGGGCCCTGGCAGTGCGGACAGCGCTCCCGCTCGGCGCTGCAAAAGGTGACGTGCTCCAGATGCTCCTGCAGGGCCGCCACGTCCCCCTCCCGCGACACCCGGCACACGTCCACGGCGCTCAGCCGCCGCCAGTCCGGGCCCTCATGGCGGTCGCGGAACTGAAAGGCGGGAAACGGCACCGACCCTGTGCCGGCCCCGGCTCCCCCCGCCCCCGGCGGGTAGTAGGCGCGCTCGGTGAAGGGCTGCGAGAAAGAGACACGGCTCAGCATGGAGCGGCACCCACCCCATCCCACCGCCCGCCCTCCCTCTAAAGCGCTCACCATGGCCAGGATCTCCGCTCAGCGCCGGCGTCCTCCGCGTTACTATAGCAGCCTCGGCCTGCGCGGGGTAGAGGCGGGAGTGAGGCACGTCCCCGCCGCCTCCCGCCCGCCCCGCCGTCCCCCGACACATGGCACACACTCCTCCCCCCCGTTCCCCCGCCCTCCGAGCGGGTCCTCGGATCAGTGATCGACATAAATCCCGTCCCCTTCCTCATCCCAGCATCGTCTTTCTCCAGTATCTCCACGTTCTCCTAGCAGTGATCCGCTAACCAGCCCTCTCCCGCGGACCCCAGTGCATCCTTTACTGTCTTCACGCATGACTCACAACAACAAACACATCCCCTGCTACACTATTACATATACGGACCCCTATCACAGCTACACAGCATATGCTTTCTCTCCCCAAGTTCCCTTCACTTCGATGAAGCCTACACATGGCACCCAAGGACACATTTCACTTCACTGCATGGATGCTCCCCACTCGCCACCCTGTCCCTCCTTCATGCTACTCCTGACTCACAAACCTTTCTCACTCTACCACACTACACTCTACTGTTGTGCTGTCCCAGGCCCTTCTTCAGCCTCACCTACTCATCTCCCAGATGTGGTGACACCTGTCATGTCCCCACCATCAGCTTATGATACATATGTCATTTCTCTGCACATCTGCTTCATGTTGCTGTACCTCCTGTGCCTCTGTACACAACCCCACATCCTCCCTATGCCTCTGCCAGGTGTTTTCACACACCCTCCCCACCCTAACACGGCCATACAGCCTTTGCATACTGTTTCCACGTGCTCTCCTCTCTCATCACACCAACACACCTCCACTGGGTATCACCACGCATCACACTACCACCTGCAACCATGCAACCCTACAGACTCACTATGTCTGCCTGTCACTCTGCCTCAGCTCTGCTGATCACAGAATCATAGAATAGTTAGGGTTGGAAAGGACCCCAAAAACTTCACCACCGAACACCTAGTCGCTTGTGTACATCAGAATTACAAACTCTTAGTTTTATGTAGGTTTTTATGTTGTTGTGCTGAAAAGCCTGTTTGCTTTTCCCACATACATGGATATATTAAAATACACCTGGCCTCATTTAATTTCCCCATATTAGCAGACACAGGTAGAATGCAATGCACTATTTCAGTTGGAAGGGACCTACAACAATCATCTAGTCCAACTGCCTGACCAAAGTTGGTCAGGGTGTCTGTAGGCTGACCAAAAGTTAAAGCATGTTGTTGAGAGCATTGTCCAAATGCCTATTAAATACTGACAGGTGTGGGGGTTGGAATGTATCAAAGCTTTCAGAGACCATGGGAAGGAGAAACTACAGCTGGCAATTAAGAGTGACCATGAGAAGGAGGAACTACAGAAGGCAATTAAGAGTGACCTGTCCCTGACTGGTACTTGGAAGATGTTGGAACTGGCAAGGAACAAGGACATCGGAACTGGAAAGAGGATGTCGGTAAGAAAATCAGATAGACCTTTCACCTCATGTAACTGCAAGGCAAACACAGATGTGCTTTGCTAATTGCTTGGAAGCATATAAATATCGTGTCATCTTTTCAATAAATGATCCAGCTTGCACTCTACCTCTGGGTCCGTGCCTCCATCCTCACAGACAGGCTTGGGGCATCAGCCACCTCTCCAGGAAGGCTGTTACTGTGTTTTACCATTCTCTTGGTAAAGAAATGCTTCCTAATGTCCAGTCTAAACCTCTGCTGGTGCAGCTCTGAACCATTCCTGCAAGTCCTATCTCTTACGACTTTTTCTTAAATTAGAAAGATACTGTGTGGTGTTTGTAACACTGCAGTCTTCTATAAGGATGCCACCTCATTTTTTACAAACAGGGCCTCAGCAATTGCTATCTTCAAAGAAATCTATTTAACGTTTTTTATATATCTCAAATACAGATCTGTCTGGGTTTACCACTGAACTTCACACTGCTCTGACTCCTGAAGTAGGTAAGAAAGTATGTCCTCTAGATACTGCAGATGCACTTCCATTTAGAGTGTCTAAATATACTTTCATCCGTAAGCAGCTAGATTTGTAAATGCTCAAATACTACTGTTGAAAGTGTTCATGCCTTGAATTCCTTAAAAAACCTCGAAAACTGCTATTTGGATATTATTCCTAGTGAAAGGGACTCCTAAGTTGTATGTTTTGCAGCAGATCCTCCTGGAAAGTTGTACACGGCCAGGTTGGACAAAGCCTTAGGTGGCATGGTTTAGTGTGAGATGTCCCTGCCCATGGCAGGGGGGTTGGAACTAGATGATCTTAAGGTCCTTTTGTACCCTAACTATTCTATACTACGATTCTATGTAACGAAACCTATCTCCCAAAGACCTTAGCCTACCACATGCTCTATCTATTCGACATATGAGAAATTTCTTCACATAGAAAGCATATGAATTCTGTAAACTAACAATTTGTGTGTCAAGCAGGAGAAGCCTTAAAAAGCACCCAGGCAATATGGTTGTCAAACTCACCGATGTGCTGGTTCAATAAAAAAACCCATAGTACTTAAAGCCAGCAAAGTTAAACCAAACCTGTGGATACACTTATGGTCCTCGAAAAACACATTTAGTCGGGAATATCCATACAGAGTTTCTTGCTGCTCCAACTAAACCTGCTTTAACAGGTTTACCTCACAGAGCAACAGCACAACCTCACAGCGGTGCATCGCAAAGCTGACGCGAGGCACAAGCCGCCCAGGCATCTCAGTGGAGACAGTCCGTAGGGGCTGAGACAGCACTTTCGGATCTGTTTTTCCCTTTCTGTCAGGTTTACTTCATCCTTGGAGCTGAGCCCATGCAGAAGTTAGGCCCATCAACCACCCGCAGGGCCCCTCTGTTAGGGGCAGCACCACTGTAATGGACGCGTGGTGGGCAGCGGCGGAGGCCTGGTCCCCCGAACACCCCTTCCCACCGGGAAAAACGGTCTTGCACCGCGGTCGTGCCCGCAGGGCAGACCTAGGCCAGGCAGCGGGGCGTTCGGTGGAGTGCAGCGGAGGAGGGCCGGGCCTGCGGGAGGCCCTAAGCCGGGCTCCCTCTTACAGCCAAAGCCTCCGGCTTCGCTTCGGAGAGCGGCCTCCCGCCCCGCTCCCTCCCGCCTCCCCCAGGGGAGAGGCCCCGCCGCCCGCGCTTCCCTCCGCTCACACCCCGGGGGAGAGCCCCTCAGCTCACCTCAGGCTGCCGTGGAGGCGTGGTGGGGCCACCGCCGATCCCCGCTCCGAACTCGGGCCGGTAACGGAGCGTACCGCGGAAAGAGGCAGCTCCGGCCTCGCCTCCCCTGTCCCGTCCCGTCCCAACCCGTGCCCTGGCACCTCCCACCGCCCCGGGGCCCCGGAGGGTGGGTGAGCCGGGTCGGCGGCGGATGGGAGCGGCGAGGGGGACCGAGCGGCTGCTCCAGCGTGTTTTCCTGAAGGGGGGAAGAGGGCACCGTGGTCAGGGGAGGGTACGGCGGGAGTAGGCTTTTTCCGGAGGGAAATACAGTATCAGCGATCAAAATACCTATCGTACCATGCAGGTAGGATCACCCGAACGGCTGCAGGTTCCATCAGATCCTCCTAATTTTTTATTTATTTAGTTCTTCCCTGTAAGATTTTGAAATGTGTTTTCCCAGAATAAACACCATGCAGCCTGTGTGGCAAGGAAGAAAACTCACAACAGTCTGTATTTAATGTAAAATATGCTGGAAAACTGAGCAGAGGAGATGGCCATTGCACACCTACAACACCTCATCTGCACTGAGGAGTTCCATTTGGCCAGGGGGACACCGTTTTCTTCCCAAAGTACATATGCAATAAGCATAAGGAAAACTTTTGGCTCTCAACGTGTGCTCAGACACATACCAAGACACCAGCTTTCCTTCATGAACCATGTAATTGTTGCGATGGTGTTGACATGGGCACATATGCTGCTTGAGTACACCAGCTTTAAGAAAATAACTGACCATTTGGATGCTTCAGGTTTTAATGCCCTACGGGTACCTCAGATTGGGTATTCAATCTAGAAGATCAAGCTAGAGTTATTCTGAAGGAAAACCTGAACATGTGTAAAATGTGGATGTCAGGTCCTCAGTACTAACTTGCTTCTGCTGATCTGCTCCTGTTGGGCTACTAAAGCAGGCATTGCCAGAAAAAGATGGGGATATCGAGGCTTTAGTGTGGTAAACCTTAATTAACACTAATAATGAAGAAAAGACTTTGAAAACTAGCAATGTGACAGCCACAGCCTCTATGGGTCAGGCCTAGAGGCAAATATGCAGTAGGAGTTGATGAGCACATTATGTGAATGGTTAGAGTATTCACTTGGAAAGCAAAATGTACCTAAGAGGCTTTATATCCCATGCCCTTAAAGTGCCCTAATGGCAACACCCTAGTCTGTCCAGTGAACCTTCTAAGGATCTCTTGCTGAAGCTGTTTTTTACATCAAAGTAAATGCTAACTAGGTAAGAAAATGTTAGAGATTCTCATCAGTGGATGAGGGAAGGTGTGTACAAAGTGTGCAGAAACACTTGGATCTTGGTCACTTATTCTAGTATTTGTTTAATATAAAATACATAAGCAGCCCTTGGAACAAGAACTAGAACCGAGTTTTCCATTCTGTAAGGGGAGGACCATCACCCTGTCTGCTAGACAATCTCATTCTTTCCCTCTTGCTTCCTTGCAGAGCTTGATTAATCTTTAATTACTTGCTGTAAGTGGTACAGCCTCACTTGGCAATAGCAGGTATTCTTTAACCCACATTACTGCCTGGTTCCTCCCTCCTCATATCTCATAGGCTGGTGACAAAAGTACTCTCCTAAAACAGACATAGATTTACTAGGAGAGGACAAGAGCATTTTAGCTTTTCCCCATCAGCATGACTTGATGCAGGAGGTTTAGGACAGCCAGCAGGCTGGCTGGAGCAGACAAGTGATTACTTTTGGTACACAAATGAACATGGTGTGCAATCACCATAAATCTACCTCAGATAAGGTTTCAGCTGACACC